TTCCCACCCAAACCAGTCTGGGAGTCTATAACCACTTTTACCGAGGCACTTTGGCAGGACAGGCAGGGGCTGGGGTGACTCTGTGGGGTCCCTGTGCTGTGGGGCTTCTCACATCTGTCTGCTCACAGCTGTCTACGGTGTTCTTTGCAAATGCAGTGTTTTTATATACCTGCCCGAAAGCTTTCCAGCTGTGGTTTGCCTAACCCCATGCTCTCTGCGAGGAGTCGCTGCTGTACCTGCACCCTGTCTGGTTTGGGTTTGTTTTGGTGTTTTAACCAGTGTCTTCCTGTTCCTGCAGGTTCTCTTTTCCACGCTTTCTGGCTTGACATAGCATGTATCAAGTTTTCATAGGCGTGATGGGAGTCTGTCCTCAGTACTGTGTGGTGCAGTTGACATACATGACGCTGTAGTTTCCTGCGCTGGTGGCCCCCTCCCCATGTCCCCCCTCATGTTGCTGTCTGCCAGACCAGCGTGGTGATAGTGATAGTAATCAGTCTTTAATATGATTTTTGGCATCTGACTCCACCGGTATTCTATCCAGGCAGGGGGGCTGTGGTTCCATCCAGCTGCTGGTGCTGAGCCCCTCACTCGCACCAGTCCCCCCAGTCACTAGTTTTGGGGACACACACCCTCCCAGGTGCGGCGTCTGGTGTTTAGGACCCCCACCTGCTCCAGCAGCTACCCTGAGACTCCCCTGACTCCAGGAGCTGTGACCACAGCCCGGGGTACCTGCACCCCCCATCTGCCATCAAATCCACTGGTGCTGGTCCCCACTGTAACTGGCACTTTATCCTTGTCACACTCACACCCACTGGCTACAGAGAGATCATGCAAAAAGATCATTAAGAAAGGATGTAATGAGAAGGTAGGACAGACAAGCATGCTGACCAGCTCTGTTTTGCCCATGGCCAGTCCCTTTTATCTCCCTTTCTGCCTGTTCCTCCTCTGTTCCTCCCCAGTCCCCCTCCCCTGCATGTTCCCTCATTGCTTTTCACAGTCATGCCGACCTCTGCGAGCGTCCTGGACCCACAGTTCCAGAGGCTGCTTACATCCAGCCCAGGAAACAGACTATTTTATGGACACAAAGCATATGTGGGAGTGATGGGGAGCTCCTAAAGGATGTCTCTTCTTGCAGGAGCAAATACAGTCGCAGCTGGAGAGCCTCAGGAGAGAGAAAGGAGAACTGGAGAAACAGGAAAGGAAGGAGCAATGGGTCTGCCAGGAGTATCTGGTAGGTGCACAGTGCTACCGGGAAGAAGTTCATTTGGGGAGGGTGAAGAAAGGTTGATTCTTGGCCTTCAGAGCTGGGAGATTGACTCATTGTGTCCAGCTGTTGGTGCACAATAAGCTCCCCAAGAACCACAGTCATGCTGCACACCGGAAAGCAAAAGCTGTGGATGCATTTAATTGCTGCCTGTCCCTTTCCGTGGTCCCACCCTCCCTTGAGAGGATTGTTTCTGCTTGTAAAGGAAAAAGTGAAGGCAGAGAGGCAGAAGATTGTGCCTGAGTTTAAGCAGCTGCGACAGTACCTGGAGGAACAAGAGTGCCTGCTGCTGGCTCGGCTGGGGGAGCTGGAGAAGCAGATTGGAACAAGATTGCAAGAAAATGCTGCTAAATTCTCCGTGAAGATTATTTATCTGAATAGCCTGATCAAGGAGCAGGAGTGTCAGCTGTCAGGACACAAGTCCTTGCAGGTGAGGTCTGCTGAGACGCCAGCCTGTCTTGGCAAACAGCACGTGAGCCACCAGCAAGTCTGAAATATGCGATGAGCTAATCTTACCTTAATTACCTTATTTATTAATCTTACCTTGCTGCTCACGGTGTAGGGGGAATGTGAGGAATGTGTGTGCAGGATAAGTAGCACTGAGCTGCTTCTCTCTTTCTCCCATCTAGGATGCTGGTGACGGTTTGAGCAGGTATGTGTTGCTTTCTTCTTTACATCACACTGCTGCTTTGGGCTTGCAAAGGTGCCTGCCCTGTACCAAAGCTGGATACCTCAGATACCAGGGATGCCCCATTGATGGTCATATTTCAGTTTCCCAGAGGCTGATGAACCAGTATGAGTCGACCAAGAAGTCTGTCCCTGGGGAAATATTCAAGGAGGACATGTCGTTTCTAAGGTCTCTGGTTGCAAGCCTGGTTGGCTTCTCCATGACTGATGTGTAGCGACACCAAGGCGTAGAGACCAGGGCGTAGTGCCCTCGGCTTAGGGCTCAGCACTTGGCTGTGATGCAGGTTTGCTCTGAAGGGACAGGATGCCTGGGGGCACCAGCACCATCACTCATAATAGAAAATTGTCAGTTAGAGCATCAGGACAGAGTCCTGAACTCGCCAGTAAGACCTGCTGTCTCCTTGTTGATGCTCTTATGTTTAAAAAAAAAAAAAATTGGAATGAACTTTCTGGAGTGTATTGGTTCAGCTGGAAAGTGGCCTCTAGCAACTGGCACTTGCAAGAGACTGAGTTAAAGGAGGAATATAAATGCTGTGGCTTGTACGACTCCAGGTGTGAGAGGGCAGAACTCCAGCAAGAGGACTGGATGAGCCATGAGCTGAAGGAGGAGTCTGCTGGCTGCTCAGAAAAAGCTCCAACGCTAGAGAAGACGGCAAAAAAAAACCCAGGTACAAAGAAGGGATCTTGGAGGAGAACAGAGAAGCATCCTGGGGGTGGAAAGAAGGGGCTTGTCAATGCCCTGCAGAAGGGAGAAAAAGCTGAATGACCTTGTGTAGTGTGTCCTGCCCTGGGGACGCACTGGAGAGGTGTCACAGCTAAAGTGGGAGGGTGTTCCCCTTCCTTCCTCCCCAGCCCCCCTACGCTGCTCTCTCTTGCCTTTTTTATTTTTCCCCAAAGAATAGTCAACATTAGCGTTGAGTCACATCATCGGCTATGGAGCCCACTAACAAATTGCTGTGCATGTGAACCCGTTTCAACACCCCTTGTGCAATGCTTGACTTGGATGCTGCCACAGCTCTTTCTGCTCTAGATCCGTGCTCCAGACCTGCTCCATGGTTGGAAGTGGGTCAGGCATGTGATCAGCTCCCAGATGTCCCAATATGCCCCAATGATTCTCAGCTCATGCTCTCCTGCTGAGGAGCCCCGTCCCCAAAGAAGTAGCTGAGATGACTGTTGGCACAGCTTGGCATTGTGCAGAGTAATTTTGTCTGGAAAGGACCTCTGGAGGTCATCTACTCCAAACTTCTGCTCAAAGCAGGTACCACTAGGTGGGATTGCTCTGTGTTTTCTCCAGTTGAATTCTGAAAGGGGGCTCTGGATCAGGGGGTGCAGGGACAGGCCGAGGGGGAACGGTTTGAAGCTGCAAGAGGGGAGATGGAGATGAGATGTGAGGAAGAAATGTTTTCCTGTGCGGGGGGTGAGGCAGTGGCCCAGGGTGCCCAGAGAAGCTGTGGATGCCCCATCCCTGGAGGGGTTCAAGGCCAGGCTGGATGAGGCTTTGGGCAACCTGGGCTAGTGGGAGGTGTCCCTGCCCATGGCAGGGGGGGGCACTGGGGGGGCTTTAAGGTCCCTTCCCACCCAAACCATTCTGGGATTCTATTAATGTCTCTGAAGATGAAGATCCCACAACTCCTCAAACCATCTTGGTGACCCTCTAGACATGCTGCTGCACTATGTCCATGTCCAATTCGTGATAGGTAGCCCCAGGTTCTTTTTTGCTGCTGTTTTATGTTTCTTCCTTCCAGCTTCGGCTGGACAAGCTGGTGGGCACAGCGGGCAGCGTGTGCGCCGGAGAAGAGAGGAAGGGTGCAGTGTTTCTCCGGAGCTGGCCTCCACAAACCACGTCCCTGTGTTGGTGGTGTTACCAGGCGTCACAGGTGACCTCTGGGTTCATCGCTCTTTCAGATGCTTTGGCGACTGACCAAGGGGAGAGAGTGGAGGAATCACTGGGACTGTACACAAAAGGTGGGTTCTGCTGGGGAGCCTCCTCGATTAACCCTGGTTGCGAGGGATGCGACATGTGTTTTGGGGACGGTGAGTCTTCCCCATACCCTGGCTCAGGGCACAGAGCTGCTCCCTGTTTTGAGCTAAGCACTTTCTAGAAGAAAAGCATTTCCAGGTTTCCTCCCAAATATGGACCCAGCATGATGAAACTCTTCCCAGCACTGATCTCTACCCCTTGTTCTTTGACCCATCCTCCCTCTCGCAGTGAACGTGACTCTGGATCCAGACACAGCTCAGTCCTGGCTTGTCTTGTCTGAAGATCAGAGAAGCGTGATGCGCGGATCCACACAGCAGAGCCGGCTGGACAACCCGGAGCGATTTAACCCGTGGCCTTGTGTGCTGGGCTGCGAGGGATTCAACTCAGGGCGACCGTGCTGGGAGGTGGAGGTGGGCTATGGGTCGTGCTGGGCTGTGGGGGTGGCCCTGGAGTCTGTGAAGAGGAAGGGACAGATTGACATGAGCCCCACGGGGGGGATCTGGGCAGTGGGCCAGTATAAGGAGATGTTCCAGGCTCTCACTTCCCCATCTCCCACCCCTGTCCTTCCTGGCACGATCCCCCAGCGGGTGCGGATCTGTCTGGACCATGCAGGAGGGCAGGTGATGTTCATCAATGTGGACAGCGAGGCTGTGATTTTCACTTTCCCGCAAACCATGTTTGCGGGGGAGCAAATCCACCCCTGGTTCTGGGTGGGTAAGGGGTCCCAGCTCAAACTGTGTCCTGAGACCTGAGGAGGTTTGTCCTTCCACGAGGTTCTGCTGTGGCCACCCTGACCTCTTGCATCCCCGTCTGGCTCATCCTTGGAGACTCCTGTCTGCTTACAGATCTTCTGCCACCTCCATCTCCAAACCTTCTGCTGTCAGCCTCCGTCAGCCTGCCCACGGAGAACAGGAATTCGCTCGCTGGGAGCAGAGACCCATGGGCTTCCCCAGCCTTGGTCCTGCCACAGTGGAAGAAGCTTAGTGCAGAATGGCCATTTCTGGGGACATCCTTTATTTACAGGAGCCATGAGGGGGATTGAGGGGCATGGGAATGCCACTGGAGTGCCTGGTGATGCCTACCTCCAAATAATTCTATGGGTGGAATTATAATCACTGCTTCTTTGGAGAATTATTGGGTACACTAATTTGTAAATGTTTGACTATTGAATTTGTTTCTCTGGCTGTGATGAGGCTCTTGGAAAAAAACAATCAGAGGTTTAGATCTTCTTCAGACAAAGAACTCATATCAGGAAATTGCTGAAGTTTAGGAAGCGTCTGGAAGAATTGCTGGTTTGAGACTTGCTGATTTGTAGAACTGCTAGGATTAGTGGCATTGTGTGGTAGGAGCGAAATATGTGAATAACCGAAGTTATATAAATAACCAATAAATAGCCAACATTCCAATGCTGGTCAAACAAATGTGAAACTAAATCCCATCCCCCAAGCCCTTTTTGACAGCTAAGGCTGCTCCATCTCCTGCTGTGGGAAAAGCTGACCTGTGAAGGGAGGCTCGGGGCTGGCATGGAAGGGAGAGATTTGAGGAGTGGTGAAGAGAATCAATGCTACAAACACAACCTCTGCCTAGGATGCTAAACACAACCTCTGCCTAGGATGCTGAACACAACCTCTGGAAAGCGGAGGTTGTGAAAAAACGTCTGTGGAAGTCACCGCTTGCTCAGGGGTGAAGCCCCCCCTTCTCGCTCTGTGGCCGAACACAAGATGAAGCAGCGGGGACGGGGACTGGGGGACCGCTGCCGGCCGGCTCTGCTGCCCCTCGCTGGGATGGGGGCCTGGGACGGCAGCACTGGGGACAGACCAGCTTGTCAGGGGCTGTTCAGTCAGGGCCCGCTGTCACAGCGGGGCATGGGCACGGCATGAGGGGGCTGCTGCTGGCATCCACC